CTATCTGAAGGCTGGACAAGGGCCATGCCCTTGATCTGCTATTCTCCTTACCCCAACCTTCATCTTTTGGCCTAAAAGTTACTTCTTCAGAAAGCACCCCCTCCCCCCCTCCCACCCCTGCTATCGTGGGTCCCTTCATTGTGCAGCTCACCAGCCTGGTCTTTCTCTTCCCCTTGAGAGAAAGTTTGTTTGCAGGTGGAGGCGGTATGTTTAGAGGTTTTTTGTCAGAACCCTGACCTGAGGGGAAAGGGGGTTGGTGGCAGAGCTTCTAGGGATTGCTGGAAAGTTGGGGTCAGGGGTACTGCTCACATGAGAAAAGGGCCAAGAGAAGAAAGAAATGAGAAAAATAAAGGAAAGAAGAGCCCGGCAGGCATGGCTCAGTGGTTGAGCATCAACCTATGAACCAGGAGGTCTGGGTTCGATTCTCGGTTAGGCCACACACCCGGGTTGGGGGCTTGATCCCCAGTGGGGGGCATACAGGAGGAGCCCATCAGTGAATCTTTCTCATCATTGATGTTTCTATCTCTCCCCTCCTCTCTGAAATCACTAAAATTATATTTTTAAAAAGAAACACTCCCTTGAAAGCCTAGTTTGGGCTGCTGGCCAGAGGGGGGAGTAAATCCGTGTCTGTGGCCCACTGTGCAGGTGAGGAGAGGGGACAGAAGCTCAGTTTGGTTAAGTGTTATGGGTTGAATCGTGTCCCCTGAAAAGATATGTTGAAATCTTGTCCCCAGGGGCTGGGAATGGATGGGCTGTACTGGAGTAGAGTGGGCCTCCTCTCACACCTACCTCCTTCTACTTCCCTTAGCTTCTCCCTGCCTCTGCCATGGCAGCCATTCTCCTAACGACCAGAGCCAAGGTGAGTGGGTCTCCCAGCTGCGGGCTGCCCCTCACCTCAGCATCTCCCCTTCACGGTCTCCACCTGCCACCTCCTCGTGTCCCAGCCTCACAACTGTTGCAACTCCGAGCCTCCCCCGGCTGCTGTGCTCCCCAGTACCGCCCTTATCCCATCTTTAGTTGCTCCCACCTCATCCTGGGCCCCAAGAGGGTGAATTTCCCTGCAGTCACAGGAATGGCTTGTTTTAGGTGCCAATATCTTTTGAGGACGTGTCCGTGCACTTCAGCAAGACAGAATGGAAGCTTCTGGATCTCAAACAAAGGATCCTCTACAAGCAAGTGATGCTGGAGAACTACCGCCATTTAGTGTCACTGGGTAAGGACCCCACACACCCAGTGCCTCCTACTTTGTCTCTAAACTCTCTTTCTTTCTCTTTCTTTCTCTTTCTTTCTTTCTTTCTTTCTTTCTTTTTAACATATTTTTATTGATTTCAGAGAGGAAGGGAGAGGAAGAGGGAGATAGAAACATCAATGATGAGAGAGAATTATTGATCGGCTGCCTCCTGCATGCCCCACACTGGGGATTGACCCTGCAACCCGGGCATGTGCCCTGATAGAGAATCAAACCGTGACCTCCTGGTTCATGGGTTGATGCTCAAACACTAAGCCATGCCAGCGGGGCTGAACTCAGTTTATTTTTGAGTTTCTTTGCTGGTTGGTTACTGTGAGGCCAAAAATAAATGCATTTCCCCATCAGATCCATAATCCATTGCAGCCCAGCTTTTGTCTCAACAGGGCAGTTTTTAGCTCAATGGTTTGGACCTGTGAATGTTTTGGGTAAATGTGTGCCCCCCCTCATCAAACTTATTTTGCATATAAACTCAGGTTAACGAAACTTCTTCTACCCAAAAGATGGTGCAAATTACCCTATGCCCTACTGGAGACTTAATTCACTTTTACCAAGGTTGCATTTCACATTTGTTTCTTGTTAGAATTTAGCAGCATCAAGCCACAGAGGGCCCAGGACATGGAGGCCCAGGCCAAGGCATGTAGACGCTGGGGTGGGAGCTGGGGTATACTCCCCTGCTGCATCCCGCTGCCTTTGGGGCTGTAATGGACCCTCTTGCTCCAATTTTTCTTTTAGAGTCAACAGATTTCACCTCTGTGATTTGCCCGCACCAAGGGAGACTAGCTCTTTCCCCTGGGTTCTGTCTGACCCTTCCCAGGAAGATCTGGGCTTCCCAGGGGAGTTCAGGAATCCTCAGCTGAGTTTGGCATAAGGAACTGAGACATCTGCTCTGTCTGATGGTGATTCAAAGGGAAAAGGGGTGCAGGCACCCCCTCGGCTCTGTTCACTTCCTGATACTCCCTCAGGCCTTGACCCCAGTGGATCCCTGCTCTAGCCCTTTGGCTATGCCTCGGGGTATCCACACACAGAGAGGCCCCCACAAGCCTGCTGCTCTCCACGAGGCCAAATAATAACATTTTTATCCTCGTGGCCCAAATTGCCATCTACTATAGATCCCCTGTGCCTGCCTGGCCCCTGGAGGCTTAGAGCCCCTTGCTTCGTGAGTGGGACTCTGGCCTTTCTCTGGACCCTTCCAGTGGCACTTTCTGGAGAGTTCTTTGTTCTCTGTTCCTGAAAACACTGATTCACTTCATTTCCGTGCACAGGATTTTCATCCTCCAAGCCTCACCTGGTCTCCCTGCTGGAGCGAGGGGAGTGGCCCTGGGTAACAGACAGCCGGACAAGGGCTGGTGAGTAAAAGGTGGTCGGCCAGCTTGCCTGAGCCATTCTCATAGAGCAGCGGCCAGTGGAGGGTGGCACAGTCACTTTGGGTGGGGAAGTCTCTTTTGTGGCAGATTTAAATGCCCCAAGGAGTCCCCTACTATGGAGGCACCAGATGAAGGGAGCACCTCCTGCTGTCTCACCCCACTTCCTCCCTTCTCGCTTTCCTGTCTCTCTGCCCAAGTCCATCTCTTGGTTCATCTCTTCTCAGCCTTGGCATGAGGGTGAGGGTGAAGAAAAAACCCTCAATAGAGATCCAGGGAGGGAGCAACACCAGTTGGTGCCCTCTGTCTTTACAGATGAAAGGATCAAGAGCAAGGCATTGAGTTCCAAGAAGAAACATTGCCCAAAAGAATGCGCAAGTGGCAGCAAGGACCAGGGAGCCAGGCTGCTGGAGGAGACACCTGAGCAGACACAGAAACATGTTCGTTCTCCAGAGACAGGGTCCAGCAGGGGTGACCATCACAGGGAGAAAGGCCAAGGCAGTTCCTCGGGGGCGGGAAGAGAGCCAGTGCAGAGAAGCAACCACAGCGTCAGGCAGGTTTCAGTGTCAAGGCCACAGAGTTCCAAAGGCGCAGAGAAGCGGTACCTGTGTCAGCAGTGTGGGAAATCCTTCAGCCGGAGCTCCAACCTCATCAAACACCGCATCATCCACAGCGGCGAGAAGCCCTACGAGTGCTCGGAGTGTGGGAAACTCTTCCGGCGCAGCTTCGCCCTCCTGGAGCACCAGCGCATCCACAGCGGCGAGAAGCCCTACGAGTGCTCGGAGTGTGGGAAACTCTTCCGGCGCAGCTTCGCCCTCCTGGAGCACCAGCGCATCCACAGCGGCGAGAAGCCCTTCGAGTGCAATGAGTGCGGGAAGACCTTTACGCGCAGCTCCAACCTCATCAAGCACCAAATTATCCACAGCGGCGAGAAGCCCTTCAAGTGCTCAGAGTGTGGAAAACTCTTCCGGCGCAGCTTCGCCCTTGGGGCGCATGCGCATCCAC